GATTCTGCATTGGGCAGGCAGGAACAGAGAAGAGGGAAAAAATGAGTGATGGCAGCAAAAGAATTCTTACCTCAAAATCCCTAATAAGAATGCACAGCATACTCCCAGGTGTGCAGATTTTCTTGTGATACGTTCTCACCACCAATCTGTTTTAAAGCTTTTATTGTCTCTGAGATCACAGAGGAGGCCTCTGCCCTGGGCAGGGAAGTTGCTGAGAATCCAGCATTCAAGGGCAAAGGCACGTACCTACAACCTCTCAGCCCTGCTCCCCGGGAGCAAAGGTGAGAAACAGGCCCACCTGGCAGTCCTGTCCATTCCTGTCCTCCTAGCCCTCCAGGCAGAAGAAAAGGGTCCTCGGTCTCCCCCAATGGAATAGTGGTTTCTAAGGACCTGGCAGTTAACTGTCCACACTACCCTACATCTAATAAAATTTAGCCATGACAACTTGCAAACTATCATAGATCTCAAAACAGTACCAGCCAGATTACATGCAAGAATCTCCAGACAGTCACACTACCCACTAGAGACTCAAGATGGGCAGAAAAGGTGCTAGATGCAGATGAAAGGCAAGCTCAGGATTCCAGGACCTTTGACCCTTCCCTCCTTCTTCTACACACCTGGGCTTTGCCTGCCCTTCTACTCAGTCCCACCCCCAAAATGAAACTTGTGAATCCCGTTCAACTAGGAGAGAGGTAGATCAATTTGAGTTAACCCTGACAGTCATCCAGACTTATCTAGAGCTTACTTCAGGCCGGGCACATGTCCAAGTGTTTTACGTGTATTGTCTCATGTAATCCCCACTGTAGACCTATAGCTTTCCCATTTTACAGGTAGAGAAACTGAGGCACAAAAAGGTGAAGTTATTTGCTCAAGAGTACACAGTTTATGAGTGCCAGAAGTAGAATTTGAACTGACACCCTACCTGCCAAGACCATACTCTTAATACTGCCTCTTTTAATTTGAAATAGCTTCAATAAAAATAAAAAAATAAAAAGAAATAGTTTCAATGATGGAGGTGAATCAGGGCACAGAGAACCCAAGAGAGGAAAATCCACAATTCTTGTGCATTCAAAATGCATAACATGGTGTTCCTTTCTAATAATGATTTGCTAAAGCTAATATCAGTTTTGCCTACATGTTCTCAACCCACCTCAGCCACTGAGCGGAGGGTCAGCAGCTCTCAGGAGAATGGATCATACTGAGGGTCTAAGCAACTGCAGATCATAGGGGTGGCCACTCCTCGGCCTCAGTGGATACACACAAGAGCATCCCCTGGAAGGCTAGAGGAGAGGCCCATCTTCTGAACTCACCCACGGAGGTTGGGAATTTGAAAGCAGAAAACCCACTGAATCTGCAGGATTTAAGGACATCAAGGGAAAGCCATCTAGTCCCCGAAACACCATACCTTCTGGATGATCAGCCCTGCTTGACTCTGGGGAGTTGGACATTAAGAGGTTTGGTTCACCATTTCAGGGAGAGCAAGGAAAACCCTTTCCCTAACCTTGACTTCTACCCTACCATTTGGGACCTCATCACCAGGGAAAGAAGGAGTGACAGGTTTAACCTGGCTCTAGGTCAACCTGATTTCATAAGAGAAAAATCTTATGATTTTTTCCCACCCTCCTTCTTCCATTACACCCCCAATATCTGTATTACCTGTGGTTTCCAGCAGATGAGGAGGTAGGCAAAACAGGGTTTTGTTTTGTTTTGTTTTGTGTTTTGTGTGTGTGTGTGTGTGTGTGTGTGTGAGAGAGAGAGAGAGAGAGAGAGAGAGAGAACACTAAGCTCTCACACTCCAGAGTGTGCAGGGGGAAAAAAAATATCCCTCCAGGGCCTGCCCACTTAGAGATTTGGCCAAGTGTCTAAATGGAGATCACCTTGTTTCTGGGGATGGGTGTGGATTGGGTGGGCGGAAGGACCATTGAGAGTGAGAAGAGGAGGTGGATGAAAGACCTGAAAGCTGGATCCAAAATCATTTTCATGATCCAGTTTGAAGAACTGATGGGCTTGTGGGACAAAAGCACGGGGAAGGTGGGTGGATGCGTGGGGGTGAAAAGCTGCCTCTTAAAGGGATCCTGTCACCTACCCTCCTAGGCAGGCTCCCTCACCCCTGCATTCTAGCTATGTGTAAGTCTCCTGGAGCAGAGTCCAATAAGGCAACTGGTTGGTCTCCGCAGCCTGTGGAGGCCCTGGCACTGGGCCTACCAAGTGGCTCACGCCGGGACGGAGGAGTGGATCAAAAGCCCCAGCAGCACAGTCTCGTGAGGGCAAGGGCAAGGCATGAGGCATTCATCTTGAGACAGCCCCACCTGTGGAAGCCTGTCATGGAAGATTGGGAGGGGGCCACAGTCAAGAAGGAGTGGACTGGCCTGTGTTTTCCACCCATCTGCACGTACACAAATGAGTTTCAGGGAAAGGGTGATGAGCAATGCCCAACCGGGAGGTTGGCAGGGTCCCTTTAAGTGTCAGCCTTCGCTGGGTGCTCGGCAGCTGACTAACCTGTGTATTTATCCTGGCCTTTGCCCTACTCTCTGCCTTCCTTCCCTTTTCTCCTCTCCCAGAGGCGTTGCAGACCAGGCCGGCTTATCCGTTTTGTTGCAGGTCTCCGGTGAATGAGAAGACCAACTCAACTTCCTGTCCTGAGCTTTGAGCCTTCCCCCTCCCTATCTCTCCTCTTGCCCCCACACCCAAATAATGTTTTCTTATGGCATTTTCTAGGCTAGATGCTGGACATTCCTGGACTCCGGTCTGGCTCCTGTTTCTCTCCTTTCTCTTCCTTGACCCTGTCTCCCCTTCCCTTCTGAAATAGCTCACCCCACAAAGATGGGATTTCCATCGAGAGAAACTCGCCCAGTGTTTTCCAAACTCTAATTTTAAGACACATGCATATTTATAGTTCATTTGGGGTCTTCATTCTTTACCTCCCCTCCTTAAAAATCAGTCTTCTCCAGTTGCCCTGTGAATAATATCTAAGAACTGGGGAGGGAATTGGTTATTTCCTGCTTATAACATGTGACTTAAATGGGAAAGAACAGCCTCTCTCTGCCTCAAAGGCTCTAGTATATTCAGAAATGTTTCTGGGAAGCCAACAAGAAAGCCATGATTTCCAGCTGACCTTCACCTGACCCACGCCCTGGCCAACCTCTGCTTCCCCAGTCTGGCTGTCCAAAGTCTCCGCCATGGCGTTTCTGTTTTCTTTTGGCAGAAATGCCTGGGAACCAAGAGGCCCCTTTCCCTGTGACCTGACCTCCCACTCTAAGAATAACAGCCCTAGGACAGCATGTCTTGTGATCCCTTTGGAAAGAGGGCATGGCTGGGAAGTGGGGAAGTTCAGGGAGCTGGATAGAGCCAGGAGGAAATGGAAGAACACAGACTCTTAGCTCTTGTGAGTAAAAAATTAAAAGGGAGAGTTTGCAGCCCTCAAGAGAACTGGGGAAAGAGGTCTAGGAAACTCTCCGAGGACCCTGAATGCTTTCATACCCACCCCCCAACTTCTAGAATCCCATCTCCTGGAAGCCCCAACTAGTGGCCCAGAGAACGGGAAAATGCTGATCCTGCCAAACAAATGTGGTCCAACCCTGTCTTGTCTCCTTTGCTGAACACTCCCTGGAAAAGTGAAGATGCAAATGTCCTTTTAAAAAGAAGACAAGTATCTTTAGCACTAGGTCCTTTCCTTTCCACTCCTGGGGAGTATGACTATCCAGTCCCTGGAGTTGCCTGACCTGTGAGCCTCTACCCCATGTGGCCACAGAGTAGAGGCTCTAGACTCCCCTCTCAGAGAGACAAGAGACCTGTCCACTCTGTGAAGAGTCCACCCTCCCAGGACTCCTGGAAACCTCTAGCTTATCCCTTGGTTGACTAGTTGTCCAAGACCTCAAAAAAGTCTTTCAATAACATCTCTTCCCTTCTCCAAATACAGTGGAACACAAATGAAATCCAGGTGTACAGGGTAGAGCAGTGAAATTGGGACACTGCCTTACCACTTGGAGCCATAATCTCTCTTTATGGCACGACTGCCTTCACTCCCTTCCTGCAAAGTCTTTGTCCACATACCCTCTACCCAGACTCCTCCTATCAATCTAGTTCTCAGGCTTTGATAATTTCCTTCACTTTGGTTGGCATTTGCATTTCAATGGGACTCTACCTCAAACTAAAGATGTTAGGAAAGGAACCTAGGGGAGGTGCTTAGGAGACACCCCCACCCCCAAAGCACTAGCTAGGGCCATATCTGACACTACCAAACTATAAGACAGACGTGGACTCTGTCTCCTTTCAGTTAGTACAACTTTTGCCAGGCCAGAGCTGTCCCTGGAAACACCAGGGCGTGTTCAGTTCTGGAGCAGGGGTGATCCTGATTCTAACTGCAGAGCGTTCAGCTTATTGCAGGTATTGTTTTAATGATGCGGTCCTCTTGTTATTGGCAAGCTTTACGTCAGTCACCGCTGAGCCCAGATGACCCAGCCACCCTACTGAACCACGCTGCTGTGGTTTTCAGGGACTTTGGAACTCCCAGATCATTCATAGGACCACGGCCCACTCTCCTCGAGAGAGTCACACACCTGTGTCCCTCCCTGCCTCCAGGCAGCGGGCCCCTCTGATGCAGGAGAACCGGGGGCGTAGGAGATGCTGAGCGAGGACTGAGAAGGGAGTCCAGCCATGTCCCTGCGCTACTGCAACTCGCACTGCCTACTCCCATGCCCACCCCTGCCCCCAGAGGGAAGCAGAAAGAGCCTTTGTGCAGGAGGGTGGTGAGGTGGGATGGATCTGGAGGAAGGGGGCTGTGTGACCATGGAGGGTGGGGCAGGAGGGTTTGACCAGCCGCCTCCCAGCACCCCCCCCCCCCGCTTCCCTCCTGGGCTCCTGGCCGCAGTGAGGGTGCTCACAACTCCAGCAGCAACACTGAGGTGCCCGGACGGTGATTCTGATGGTGATGTTGCTCTGTTCTTGTCTGTCTAATATTCCTTTTTAATCCCCATCCTGCCTGCCCCTCCCTTATGTAGGGTTACTTTAGTGATCCCTGGAATGTTTTTGACTTCCTCATCGTAATTGGCAGCATAATTGACGTCATTCTCAGTGAAACTAATGTGAGTATGACTCTGCCCTCCCCAGGAAGCCTCCTCCTTCCTCCTCTGCCTCCTCTCTTTCCCCTCACTCTCACTCTCGCTCTCTCTCTCTCTCTCTCTACCTCCTTTTGTTTGGTTGGTTTTTTAATTTCCTGTTTTTACCCCCCTCCAGTCATGCTTTTTATTGAACCTGCCGTCGTCTGTGGGGGAAAAAAAGTGGGAGCTCCTCCTCCTTTTTTTCTGCATGGCCGGCTCTGCCCTGCCGCGCTGGGCCCAGGGGCCCAGGGCTGAGCGGAGGGGCGGCCACGTGGGGCTGCCCGGCCCCCTCCCCCGGCGGCCCGGCCCAGCGGAACCTCGGTACTAACCCAGCTTTTGTCAGGCCTTTCCGCCCCGTGAGAACCAGGTTGCCCAGGTTTGAGCTGCCAGAATTGTAGAGTGGTAAGAGAGTATTTAATATGCCCACGTAACCTCTTTCTTTTCTCATTTTTTCTCTTCTCTCCTTTCTTTCATGCTTTATTTTTTTTTTCATTTTTCCTCTTCCTTTTTGTTTTGTTTTTCTCCTTTGTTCTTGGTTGTTTTTTTTTTTTCTTTCTCTTCTCTCTCTCTCTCTCTTCCTCGGCTTCTCTGCCCCATGCAGCACTATTTCTGTGATGCATGGAATACATTTGACGCCTTGATTGTTGTGGGTAGCATTGTTGATATAGCAATCACCGAGGTAAACGTAAGTACATGGCGTCTGTCCCTAACTGTCCGTGCCTGCTCTAACACTCATTTGTCTTTGCCCCGGTTCATTTTTTTTTTCTTCATTTTATTTTCTCCTCCCCGTCTCCTTATTTTCATTTCATTTGGTCTATTTGTTTAAATTGGTTTAAAGGATTTTTTTCTTGTTGCTTTATTTTGAACTTTTCTGTTCTTTTTTTTTTTTTTCTTTTTAACTTTTGGAACGAGTTAGGCCTCCCCTTTCCTTTTACGTCCTGATTGCTGCATCTTCTCTCTCTCCCGTTCCAATGAGCCTGGCATGACTCACACTGTATAGGAGGACACAGCTATGGGAGCCAGAGAGTGCCAGAATGAGGGGATATTTACAACTTCTGGGCCACAACTGGGGCAGGGACCCAAGCCTCTCCTCACCCCCCACCTCCCCTCCACACTGCTGTGTTTCCCTGTCTCCCCTGCACCTCCACGGCACCTTGGAAAGGAGTTCTCTCAAGGTGGACCACCAAAGTTAAGGTTTGGACTTTGCCTGCCTTGTGAGCCCCCCTGGGGTAATGTAGCTAGTGTTATGTTGACACTAAAACGTCAGCAGCCAGTGCAGGCAGCCCAGCCCCGCAAGCTCTTTGGGGATCTGGGCCATGTCAGGACTCCTGTTGGGTCCCACTTCCCTGGAGCAGCCAAAGAGCCAGGTGGCTGTGTAGTCCATCAGGAGCTCATTCCGAGGGCGGGGACCTTGCCTCCCGCTTGCTGTGGAAGCAGACTCGGGATGAGCACCTCACTCCCACATGATGCGGCCCAGAGAACTGACTCTCACACCTGCCTGCTTCTCCCCCACCCCTCAATCCCCTCACAACCTGTCCCTGGCTCCCTGGCCTCAGACAGAACCCTGGCCCCTGCCCCCGCCCAGGGCCTCCTGCCATCATCTCCCGAGCTGTCTCCTCCTATACAGCTCCCTCCAGTTCCTGCACATGTCTTTTTGTTACCTGGCATGTTGAAACCTTCCTTCTTTATCTATAGGCAAGCCCACTTGAGGTTAGTCTTTAACACGTGTTGTTTAATTTTATTTGTTGTTATTATTTTTCCTTAATTAAGAGACTTGCACAAACCTTTGATGCACTGAACCATTGAATAACAGCACAGAGCAGATGCTATAGAGTTTTGTTCTAAGATGTTTGAACCTATCCTACCAACTGCCACCATCCCCCTACTGCGTCCTTACCCTCCCCCTCCACTCCATATTTTGCTCCCAAGCTGTTGAACTGACATGTTATCTTATCTGCCTGACTCCCCTGACTAGAAGTCTGTCCACTCCCCTTCCAGCAGATGGACGTTGGCAGGAGCCTGTTGCACTTTCCCTACATCCCCCTCTTGCACCCTCCCTGCCCACCCTTTAGCTATAGATTTGATGGCCCCTCTGTCTCCAAAATCCCCCCTGGGCTATCTTTGTCTCATGGTGTGTGTGTGTGTGTGTGTGTGTGTTTACACACTTCTCTTTGACTTCTCCCAGGAAACCATCAGATTATTTTTAAAAGTCCACCTTTCAACTCATGCCCTGTACCTTCCTGCCCCTCACAGCCACCCTCATCTCACCACTCTGAGCACACTCTGGGCTTTTCTGGCCAGAGGAGCCCTACATTGTATGTCAGGTGCATTTCAGGGCCAGGAGTTACCGCCGAATTTCTAAAAGCCTGTGCCTTTGTGCCTGTAGCTGGTGCTGGGCAGTGCTCTCAAAGGAGGGAGTGTGTGAGGAGAGAGATGGAGAAGAGACAGCAGCTCTGCCTTCAGAGAGTCATGTTTTGCAGACAGCAGTGCAGTCCATACGAATCTGTGCCCAGGGACCGGAAGCCCGGCAGGAAAACGCAGGAAGGTGACAGCAAGCTGCTCCCCTGGATGCACAGAGGGCCCACTGAAGTCCCAGGTGGTGAAGGGGTACCCTGTTGGTCCTCACTGTCGATAAGACCTGTATCATTCAACCTTCCATTTTCTCCCAAACTACTGGGTTTTTTTTTAAATGAAAAACAAAGCAAAAAGAAAAGTCACTAGGGTATAACATTTCTACAGAAAGAGTGGCTGTGTTGGGGATAGGAGGTGGCCAGGGCACGAACAGAGCATGAAATTATCATGCAGATCCTTATGTTTGTATAATGGGTTTCTATTTGCAATTCATCTGGCATTTATCTCAGGTAACTCTTAACTGCCCTGTGAGTATGACAGGCAAGAATTATCATCCTCAAATTGCTGACCCTAAAGATGCTGACCGAGAGATTTAAGTGCCCTTCAGGACAACACAGCTGGAACCCAGGCCTCCTGGGATGGCCCGCTCACTTTGCCTGGGGCCAGAGTTCCTGTCTCTTCAGTCCAAGATGCCTTCAGCAAACACATACAGCTCACATAACTCCCGCGCAGGAATTCCCACTAGTCAGGATTTGTTCAGCTCTTATGGTCTGGAATTTATAGTTTAAGTAACCATCCAGGTTCTTTTCCCATTTTCTAAACAAAAAGTTATGACCACCTTAGAGTCCTGGTCCACCCCTAGCTCCTCCGAACGTCCCTTCACCTCATGCGGAGATTTTCTTCACACCTCCAGATTGAAGAATTTGTTAAAAGTCATTACTGTAGGGTTGTCTGGGGATCAAATGGGGACAGTCGGTGTAATGAAGAGCAAGAGGAGGTGTCCAGAGACCTACTGCCCAGTGAATGGCTTCTGAACAAAGAGAATAAATGTAGTATCACCCAAGTCCCAAAGGCAGTGCAGGAGAGAAAGAAGGGGCCGGATGTGAGGTCAAAACTTATCTCCATAGAAGTTAACAAAATGTCCAAAGACTTAGTCTCCTCATCTGTCAAAGGAATGTGATGATATTTACTGCAGTGTGTTTTGAGCTGAACAAGAGCATCTATTTTAAAACTCTATGTAACTATAAAGCACCACTGAGTGGGAGAGACTACAGCACCCAAGCAAATGACATTTTTTCCAAAACCCCTACTGGAATAGCTGGAAGGGCCTCATGTCCAACCAGTTATATCTAAGGATAACTTACTACCCACAGACACTGTGAGGGTCCTTAATTTCCTGGATCTATGATTAGACTCTGGAACATGGTGGGCAGGTTCAGCCAGATGAAAGTAAGCGTCTATTGATCACTGTGCCCAATTCAGGCCTCAATGGGTCTGCTCCACAAGCACAGTCCTGGCACAACCCTACACGCAAGGAAGCAGCCAATAGTGTGAATGACAAACTAAGAAGCAATGATACCTACGTATGAGGTGTTATAGTATTAATAGCAATACCTAGGTATTAGATGTATAGATCCTTCCACCACATGGTTCTGCCTTCAAGTCACCAGCAGCTTATGAGTCTGGGGTGGTTTCCTGGTGCTACTCTAGACCTTCCCAGAATTTTCTAGTCATTTTTTCATCACAAGATATCCATTCCCAAACATATGTTCTATTTGGCAGGAATCCATGCTTTTTAGCCTCAGAGGAATCCATGAGGGCTTTTCTCCTGTCACTCATCTTCAACTCTTTTAAAACTACGGAAATCAACTCTCTTTTCCCTCACCAAATCCCATACTTATTCCAACTGCCCTCAAAAACTCCCCACATGTATACTCTTGTCCTCTCAATGCCTTCTTTCTCCTCCTCACCTTCAATACATAGGCCCTAGTGGGCCTCCCTCTCAGGTACGGGTTTCCCACCAATCCCAGGCCATCACTTATTCACTTCACTGTGAAGTTTATAGTCTCACCTTCTGTGTGTGCCAAGCACTATTTCAGGCACCTAGGATGCAATAGTGGACAAAACAAAAGCCCCTTTCTCATGAGCTAGCATTCCAGGGTAGGGGGAATAACCAGACAACGAGCAGTGCCATACATATAGAAAATAGGAATATCGAGTGTACCGTATGCTAAATGACAATAGTACTTTGGAAAAAATTATGCCAAGTTAGGGGGATCAGAGGTTCTGGAGACAGAGAAGACAGGCTCAGTGTCAAATTAAGATGGGCTTTCCTGAGGAGGCAACATTGGCACAAAGCGAAGGTGTGAAGGCCATAAGGAGCTACCTATGCAGGTATCCAGGAGAGGAGCTTCGGGCCCAGGGGAACAGCCACTGTGGCTGGAGTCTACTGAGCAGGGGAGAAGGAGAGAGAGGGGACTGGCCAGGGGGCCGGAATTTGGCTTTTATGCTGAGTGAGAAGGGAAGACTCTGGTGCCTTCGAGAAGAGCCATCCCACTGATCTGACGCATGTTTCCAAAGGACTGCCTTGCTGTCTATGAGAGTCAAGGGTGGAAGCCCAAACACCACTCAGAAGGCAAATGCGATAATCCAGGTGGGAGGCGATGGTAGCTGGTGACAAAGCAGGAGCATTAGAAGTGGTAGGAACATGGTCAGATTCTCAATCTGTTTTGAAAATAGAACAGTGTCTCCTGACAGACTGGGCATGGGTATGGGAGAGAGGTGTCCAGGATGGCTGGGGGGTTAAAGCCTCAGCAGTGGGAGGTTAGAATTGGTATCCACCAGGAAGGACAGCAGGTAAAGCATGTTTGAGTGAGGAAGACAGGAGCTCGGTGAAGATGTGTCTCCCGGACCTGCCAGCGGAAATGTCAGCTAGACAGTGGGGCGCACCGTCTAAGTACAACTTACTACCCACAGACACTGTGAGGGTCCTTAATTTCCTGGATATGATTAGACTCTGGAACATGGTGGACAGGTTCAGCCAAATGAAAGTAAGCACCTATTGATCACCGTGCCCAACTCAGGCCTCGATGGGCCTACTCCACAGGCACAGTCCCGGCACAACCCTGCATGGGGGCATGCAGTCAGCTGCATACAGATGCTCTTCAAAGCCACAACAGTGCTGAAGAGCACCGAGAGAGGGAAGAAGACCCAGGAGAGACAAGGGCTGAGCTAGGGCTTCCAGCAGGAGGAGGGCAGCAGCCTTGTGCTCACAGCCACTCTGTGGCTGCCTTCCTGTTCACTCTGGGAGATGCTGATGAACAGATGCAGATG